CCCTCTCTGGTTTCCTTATTTACTCTTTAAAAAGTAAATGGAAATGCTGTATTTAGGCTCTACTGAAGGCCTGAGACCGTGGGAAGAACTGAATAGAAGCAAAGGTAGAAACCAGCTGTTTAAAACTCAGGCAAAGCTGGCCAGCATCCATTTCTTTAAAACATGAAAAAAGAATAATAGAATTAAACTTCAGAAAGTTGATGTTAATTTTTAAAATGAAGTAGTTGAATGGTATGAAAAGAAAATTCATCTAAACATAGGTTTGATTGAAGCAGTTTCCAGAGAAAGTCAAATAAGGTAGGAAGCTGGGTAATTTTGAAGCACAGTCAAAAGTAATTTTATTACTATAGTTGTAAAGTTAAGTATTATAACAGGGCCCATTTAATGACACTTGGACAAAGGTTGGTATTAATGTGAAGGTTCTCAGATTCATGTGAAGCTCCTGGTGTGTCCCTGGTTGCCTACCAGACAGATTCAGAATCTTAGAAACATTTCAACTCAGTGTGTACAGAACAGAACTCTTCAGACACATAAACCCCTACGGTCAGCAGTTGCCAGCTTTATTGTTTGTGTTCCTGTCTCAGTAAACAGTGCTGCCCACGATGAAAACCCAGGAAGCATCTTTGATGCTCCCTTTACCTCCCCTTCTTTTTTTGCTGAGAAAACAGAAAAACATGAAATGTGACCCCTACCTACCCTCAAGTAGTTTACATCTTCTTGGAAAGCTAAGACAAAGACAAGGCAAATTAAGTCAGTAACAGATACAAATTGCAGGGTAAATGTACAAGACCCCTATCATTGCCAAAGAATTTTACAAACCACTGTAGCTTCGAATTTCAGGAAAGGATACAGTTACTCTAGGATGATAGTTTTGAGGTGGCCAAGGATCCCTCCTGCTTACTCTGGTGACCTGTGGTTTACCAGTACATCGTCCCTGATCCTTTTTACCAGGAATGTACACACAGAATGACCCTTTGTTCATGTCTCTTTATCATAAGCAAGGTTTCCATTTACAATTTTAATGTTTGCATCATCTTCTAAGCGTCCCCAAACCACTGTTGTAAATGCCTTTTAAGGTTGAGATGGTCTCTGTCCACCTCGCTGATGCTGTTTTTCAGCCTCCACATGCTGTGCTGCATTGTTCCAGGTTAGAGTTAAGTGGGTACTAACCATGTGTCTCCAGTATGCCTTAGTTGTGAAGACACAATGTCCACCAGCCATAATGCTGAGAAACAGCTAAACCAACAGGCGGCTGGTTGTCTGCTTTGTCCTTGGGAACTCGCCACATTGCCATGGTCATTGCTTCAGAGCTGATTGTATGACCCTTTGGAAGATCTTACATTAGTCAGGCGTAAATAAAATATTAAATCACTATTAAATTATTGAGAGATGTGGGATAACAGGAGATCCAAGTTTCACAACCATAAAGGAAGTTTAGTATCATCTGTAGATTAATCATTATTCAGTTTTTTATTCTCTCTGAGCATCGCTTTAGAAGAAAGTGCCTCCTCTTTTTCTCGAGAGCACTCTGTAGTTTTACTGGGCACACACTCCTTGATTTCAAGAATCTCAAGGCATGTTGTTAACTCCGAACACCAAATCCTGCTTCCAGAGCATTGCCGCAGGCATGAAGCAGTTCCAGAAGATTTTCACAGACTTTACCATTTATCTCTTCATTCTTTTCTACAATAAGATGCCAAGATATTTCTTAATCCTTCTCATAGATCTTTGTCAACCTTTTCCCCCCTTTCTTGTGTTGCTAAAATGTACTTAGGATATCTTCTTTGATGCATTGAAAAGGCAGTTAATATCCCACTTATTTGTACCTATCTCAGAAACATCAGGAACACAGCCAAGAGCCAAAAACAGAAATAAAGGGCTCTGAACAGTTGAAGTTGTCAAGAAATCTATGTGGTTTACTTACAAAACTCTTCCTCTAGCCTTCATTCAGAGTGTGTTTGTTTTCACTTAAGGTACCAGTCTAGCACTTGAGATTTGGATTCTCAGCTAGTGAGCAGAAGTACTCAACTGAAGGTGAAAATGAGACTCAAACACAGGTGCTCTTTGGAAGCCAGTCGGAAGAAAGATTTTTAATAAAATACAGACTGCCACTGTGACTTTTTTGTATTTAGGCAGTAGATTTACCTACTTGAGTGGCTCCCAAAGTTATCAATATATTTCAGTTCAGCATAATAAAAATAATAGCCAAACTTCAGTATTAGTGTACATGGTAATGACCCTTGAGTCATGAAGAAAGAATAAATTATGTTCAGAGGAAGAGACCATTTTTTAAAGACTTCCACCAAAAATACTTAAAATTTTTAATGTTTGTTGCTTGAAGGATAAACTTTTATTATCTAGAAAATCCACTTTGTGGGGTTATAAGAAAGTATTAATATACATTTCTGTTCTGAGTTATTTTCACTGAAGCATGTTTAATGTGACTGACTGACAATAATGGTAACTGGTATTTGTGTAAACTTTGTAGGTTTTCTTTGGCAACTATCTTAAGTGGTCGATGGGGGAGGTGCTCTGCTAAGATCTAAAATGGTTCAGTGTTTTGGCCAAAGTCACACAACTAGCAAAGGGTAGACTACTCTCCAGTGTCTCCCAGCACTATATCCTATAACACATAGTAACAGCAGTTAGTAACACTAGATGGACCTGGACACCAGGTGCCTCCTAGGGAGAGTCCTTCAGCTGGGACCTCCTGACTTCCCCGTGAGCTGCAAAGTCTGCAGCTTGCAGGAGGAGTTTGTTAAGTCCCCATATATATCTCATTGAGTTCGAGAGTTGAAAATGATTTTGCAGTCACTTACCCAAGAGTGACACAGGTGTCTCCCCTGCTCTAAAGGAAGGGAGGAGCTTCTTCCTGCTGACCTTCAAGATAGTTCCTCTCTTAAACCTTTTACTGAAGGACAGTATACAGAGAGAAAAATACACATATCCTAAGTATCCTGTTCAGTAAGGTTATTTTCCAGTTGCTCTTGGTCTTTCCTTCTCTTTTGTTAGATTTTGGCCCTATGGCCAGCATGTACATGTTCACCAACCCTATGCATCTGTTGTAATACTTCTATAATAATCTTTTTTCCCGGTTTATCCACAATTCAGTAATGAGTTTCACATTGAGGTAGGCATTTTCTAAGACATTTCTGGTTTTTCTAATTTGTAGTCTAATGCAGGCCTTTTCAGATACCCATGGTACCTCTGAAGAGAGCTTCTCTCTTACTAGTTATGACAATAAAAACACAGTATAACCCTTTTTTCTTGCAAAACAGTTTAAACCACAGATTTGATTAGTAGTTTCTTGGTGCTGTTTTGTTTTGTACTTGGGTGTGTTTCAGCTTTATTCACCACTTGGCCTTAAAAATCTCCATGAGTCGGAACAGAGAAAGTAAAATTGAGCACCTGCTTGTTTGTGCTTTGTGCTTTATATATGTTATCTAATATCTCACAACAATCCTTTGAAATACCGATACTTCAGTTCCAGCTTACAGATGAGGAAACCAGGGTACAGAGAGGTTAAGTAATTTGCCTAAAATCCTATAGCTAGTAAATGTCAGAGCCCGAAGTAGAATATCGGTTTTTCACATTCCACAATCTGTGCTCTTTCCACTAAAACCACACGGCTTCAGAGGCCACAAGAAGGTGAGGAAGTAGGAGACTGATGCAGACTGTCCAGGGCACACCTTTGTTTAAAGGCACCTCATGACAGCGAGGTAAATTCAAAGATGGAAGAAAAAATAGCTGGAAGATACTATCAAACCCACTCCAGTATTCTTGTCTGGAGAATCCCACGAACAGAGGAGCCTGGTGGGCTACAGTCCACAGGGTCACTAAAAGTCAGACACGACTGAAGCGACTTAGTACACAAGATACTATCAAACAACATCTGCTCAGCACACATTTATTAAGCTGCCCTTCATACTTTGCTATGTTACGTAAAGAGTCAGATAATAGTCCCCTAAGGAATTAGGAGAGAAAAGAGAGAGGTTGGAAAGTTGTATAAAGCTCCAGAAAACTGCAACACATCAACTGCATGGGCCTAGTAAAAATTCCAACATCCAGAAACAGAAAGCAGCTCTTGAAAACCCTTGGCTCTCTAAGTGGAAATTGCCTTTAACCTGTCCTCAACCTAGTATCATCCTTTCCTGCCCACAATGTCCTGTTTAAACCCTAAGAGTTATCCTAGGTGATTTACAGAAATGGTTGAAAAGGGTTCTTAAATGTAGGATTTGGCTTCCTGTGGATTATTCTAAAATGTTTATTAAAGGTCTAGGTAAATGTAACAGGTAGCACTTGATGCACCATAATACTACTACGTTGCATTGACAGCTTTATGGTTTACAATGTGATTTCGTATCTGTGTCCTCATTTAGAGGCTAGGAGTAAGAAATTGCTTGTCATTCATCTTTCAGTATATCTGAAGTGTAAAATTATTGATCTCTATTCCTCCATGACCTATAGGGTCAGAAGGATTCCTGCATCACTGTTTGCAGAATTCTAAAGTCCAGCCAATTGGTCAAGCTGAGAAACCATGTTAAAACTATTATTTCTCTAAGTATTTCTAAACCAAGACTTGAAATACAGTGTATCTGAATTTTTGTCTATGTTATGGACTTATGAACCAGTGATTATTTAACAGGAATACCCAGGCCTAAAACAAAAATATATGTTGGCCAATTGGAGTTAATAATGTGGCCAAAATTTTAATTTTTGAAGAAAAACTTCTTTTCAATGATATTTCTTTTTTATAAGATAGAAATTATTTGTGAATAATCACTTTAAAAATTGTCACTAAAAATTGAAAATATTATAGGGTTGGCCTTATGTTTTCATTGAGTAGATGCTCCTAATCTATTGAATAAAAAGCATATGGGCCCTGAGAAGCAGTTTTGGACAGAGAATAAAACATAAGTAACACTGATGAATTTCATAATGTAAAAATGGTTCTTTGGAGAATGACCATACTGATTTCTTCTTTCTCTTTGTCTGTCTAGTGAGAACTCAGCAGAGGCAATAGCAGTACATTCTAACCATCAGTCGAAGTCCCCACTGGAGAAGTTTATGGTCAAACTGTGCACACATCATCAGAAGCAGTTCATTCGTGTTCTGAACGATCTGTACACTGAGTCTCAGCCCGGCTCCGAGGACTTGCAGTCTTCTGATTCTGGAGCCATGGACGCCTCTACCTGCGATGCTGGCTGTGCCCAGCTCAGCTCCAGACATACAGAAAAGGATGCTCTGTCTCTCAACATGAAGTCTTCTACTTCTGTAGACTTGCCCATAGACTCTGCAGGCTCCCACAGCCCTCCACATTTGACAGAGCAGGCCCTAAAGGATCCTCCGCCTGAGACAAACTCTGTAGATGGAACAGAGAAGACTCTGACTGTTGTCCAAAAAGATTCCTCTGAACTTCCAACCACTAAACCTAATTCAATGGATAATTCCACTCTGGGATACCTCACTGCACCGAATTCTTCCTCATTAAACTTCCACCGCATCTCTAAGAACCTGGAGGGGCAGACCACTGAACAGGAGCAAGACACAGATGTGAAAATATGTGAAGATGGTAAAGACCATGTGCAGAGCGCAGCTTTAGTAGAAAATCTAATTGCAGTAAAAGCGGCAGCTGAAAATAATGAGGAGAGCAACAGCTGTATTGTTTCTCAAAGAAATTCATTCAAAGCTTTATCAGAAGAGGCTTGGGACTCAGGGTTTATGGGGAATTCACCTAGAACTGCTGACAAAGAGAATGCTTTACAATGTAGCTCAAAAACACCTTTACGCCAGGACTTAGAGGCATGTGAACAAGATTCAAGGCCAAAGCAAGAGAACCATCTTCACTCCCTAGGAAGAAATAAAATGGGTTACCATTTACAGCCCAGTGATAAGGGCCAGTTTGATCATTCCAAAGATGGTTGGTTAGCCCCCAGCCCCATACCACCTGTACACAAAACATCAAATGGACACTCACGAACCAAGATGATATCCACCTCCATTAAGACAGCTCGGAAAAGTAAAAGGGCATCAGGGTTGAGGATAAACGATTATGATAACCAGTGTGATGTCGTTTATATCAGCCAGCCAATAACAGAATGCCACTTTGAGAATCAAAGATCGATATTATCTTCTCGGAAAACAGCCAGGAAGAGTACTCGAGGATACTTTTTCAATGGCGATTGCTGTGAGCTGCCAACCGTTCGCACGCTGGCCAAGAATTTACACTCCCAAGAAAAAGCGAGCTGCTCAACTGTGGCATCAGAGGCAGTGGTCACTCCCAAGCAGACCCTTGTCACGTCAGCACCTCAACCTACAGTAGAAGTAGAGCATCCCGGAGAAGACAAGCCTGAAGAACCTAGTGAAGAAACAGCCCCTCTCACGGAAGGAGACAGAGATGTATCACCTGGAAAGGCATCTCAAGAGCCAGAGGTTTGCCCCGTGAAGAATAATGCAAACCCGAGTGGCTCCCCCACATCAAAGGAAACAGCAGCCTCCAGCCCAGAGCGGCCCCTCCCTGCTCATCTTCCTGAAGAGGACCCACCAGAAGGCAGCTCCATGGTCTCAGCTCCCACAGGAAGTGAGATGTCTTCCCCTGGACAAGAGCAGCAGCCAGTTGAACTGCTGAGTACAGAGGAGATGAGTGTACCCCGAGACTGTCCCCTGCTTCCCGCCACAGAGAGCATTTCTGAGGAAGGCAGCGACGATGTTGCTCCCAGGCCTGGTTCCCCTCCTGAAACAGCAGAGAGAGAAGAAAGCCCTCTGTGTTCAGAAAATCAAAGTCCCTCTGCGGGCTTGGATCCTCCCATGAGCCCAGGAAAGGCCGAGGAAGAGCCAAGTGCCGCTACTGAGGCCGAGACCGAAGACAGTCAGGAGCTGGACACTGAGCCACTCTCGAAGGAAAGCAGCACTGTGGCAGATGAAAACCCCAGTGAAGCTGAGGAAAGTGAGGCAGCAGGCGGCACAGGAAAATTAGAGGCGGAGGATGGCGATGTCAGACACCCTTCAGAAAAAGATGCATGCCGTCAAGACACTGAGTCACCTGAAGAGAATCTGGACAAGAAGAAAAAAGGTAGAAAATTACCTGAGGCCTCTGATAGGTGTCTCAGAAGTCAACTTGCAGATTCTTCCTCTGCCGAGAGGTGCCTAAAAAATCAAAGTTCAGATTCTTCCTCTCCTAGTGCTGACGTCAAGGTTTCTAAAAGTTCTGGTGCAAAACGCTCTAAAAAAGAAGGGCACCCTGTTGGGACAACACCCGAGAGCCTCCTTACTGAAGGCTTCCATACAAAAGCTCCGGAAGACACTGAAAACCCAATTGTCAGCGAAAACACCCCTGAGAAAGAAAACACCCCTGAGAAAGACACTGAGCAGGAGGTTGAAGGGGGTGGGGTGATCACCAGGCAGACTTTTAAAAACATGCTGGTGAAAGAAGTCAAGGGGGAAGAAGGAAGTATTCTCCCCAGCAGTGATCCCTTAGCCACAGTTGGCCAGCCCCTGCCTGGAGAGAAACTGGAAATCTATGTTCAGTCTAAATTAGGTGAGAACAGCACTCAAGAGCCCTCTGAAAGCATACCTTGTACTTTCCCAGAACAATCACAGGGGAAGCCAGGACCTGTTCCTGCACAGGAGACGGAGGAAGCCATGAATGAAATAGACAGTGCCGACAGTCAGCATAAAGATGGCGATAATGATGACGTGCCGTCTAGCACGCTGGGATCATCAAGTAGTGGAAATGATGACACTGCAGTGCCCCAAAAATGGGCCCCAAGGCTTACAAGACTGACCTCCTCCACCTACAACCTAAGACACACTCATTCTCTGGACTCCTTGGATACTATAAAAGTGACTTCCGAAAAGGAAGCAGCACAAGGAAACCCAATCACAAAGGAAAATGCAGCTTCCGAGAGTGGAGATCCCGTCGATGAGGGTGATGTGGACACCGTGGTGGACGAGCAGCCGAAGTTTGTGGAATGGTGTGCTGAGGAGGAGAACCAAGAGCTCATTGCCAACTTCAATGCCCAGTACATGAAAGTTCAGAAGGGCTGGATCCAGCTGGAGAAAGAAGCCCAGCCAACACCAAGGGCAAGGAACAAGTCTGATAAGCTGAAGGAGATTTGGAAAAGCAAGAAAAGGTCACGGAAATGTCGGGGTTCACTGGAGGTTCAGAAGTTTTCTCCTGTTCAGATGTTGTTTATGACAAACTTTAAATTATCTAATATTTGTAAGTGGTTCTTAGAGACAACTGAAACCCGGTCTCTGGTCATTGTGAAGAAGCTCAATACTCGTCTTCCAGGTGACATCCCACCTGTCAAGCACCCTCTTCAGAAGTACCCTCCTTCCAGCCTGTACCCCAGTTCACTACAGGCCGAACGCTTGAAAAAACACTTGAAGAAATTTCCTGGAGCTACTCCTGCCAAGAACAATTGGAAAACACAGAAGCTCTGGGCTAAATTTCGAGAGAATCCCGACCAAGTGGAGCCAGAGGATGGCAGTGACATGAGCCTCAGCCCCAGTCCTGAAGAGAGTGTAGAGGAGGTCAAGGAAGGTAGAAGCAGCCATCCTCCCACCAACTCACCGACCCCAGCCAGTACCCGCATCCTTAGAAAATACTCCAACATTCGAGGAAAGCTCAGAGCCCAGCAGCGTCTGATCAAGAACGAGAAAGTCGAAAGCCCATTTGGTCCGGCTGTGGAAAGCAAACAGAGTTGCAAGAGTGTGTGCATCAACCCTCTGATGTCCCCCAAGCTCGCCCTGCAAGTCGGTGCGGATGGGTTTCCCATTAAGCCCAAGAGCACGGATGGAACGAAGGCAAGGAAAGGGAAGCAGGTGCCTGAGGCCTTGCCAAAAGCAGAGGTTCAGAATAAACGCAAGAGGACAGAAGGCGGCAGCACTCAGGACAGGAAGGACAAGGGGCCTGCGATGAAGGCCAGCAAAGAAAGGCATGTTGATGGGTCCACCAGAATCTCCGCTGCCAAGAAGCCAGCCGCAAGGGACAGAAGCAGCCAGCTGCCCAAAAAGACAGCTTCAAAAGAGAATAAAGTGAAGATCCCTAAAAAATCACCTGGGAAGAGCTACCCGCCCTCCAGGAAAGAAAAAGAGAATGCAAACAAAAGACCTACCCAGCCCTCTGCCTCAGATCCGGTGACAAAATCTGCAAAGCAAAGAGGGGCAGGTGAGTCCTCTTCCAGGCCACAGAAAGCCACAAATAGAAAGCAGAGCAGTGGAAAGACTCGGGCCAGACCCTCGACAAAAACCCCAGAGAACAGTGCGGCCCAGAGAAAGCGAAAGCTGAAGGCAAAGCTGGACTCTTCCCACAGCAAAAGAAGGCGGTTGGATGCAAAGTGATTCGCAGGGCGGTAGCCCAGAGTTAAAACTGTTCTATAGAAGTAACCCTTTATTTTGCATTAACTAAATCTGCTTTTATAAGCTTATCAAGCCTTTCAAATCTGCAGTTAATGGAGAACACCACAATTTAAGATGTCAGAAAGTGCGTCTCAGATGGAGAAGGGAACTTGCAGAGTCTTTCTCTGAGGCTGAGTAAGGGAAGTTATATATTATATTCTGGTTGTTCCTTGGGTTTTAAACTTGGAACCAAGCAGTTTTAGTTTTTAAAAGTACAGTGCCTTATTTATCCTTTTTGTTTTTAAATTTACAAAAGCTAAAAAGCTGATCTATGTGATTAAAGGCTTGTATTTTATACTTGATGCACAAGCACTTGTACTGTAGCCAAGAAGACCACCATCATGCACATAAAAGTAGCTTTTCAGCAGCCGCCCTGCAGTGTCAGTACACAAACAGATGCTCCTCTTTGCAAACCCCAGCAGTGAACTTCCCTCTGTCTTGTTTGTTTAAACGATATTTGAAAGCTAAACCAAATCATTTTTACAGTATGTGGAGAATGCAGAGGGAATTTATAGTTATTATAAAAGATTAATACTTCTGTTACCCCTTTTTAAAAATTCATATTCGTTGTTGGTCACTCATCTCTGATCTTTTGTCATTTGAGGAAATATATTCTAAATTATGTGCCCATGGAACAAAAGGTGTGTCACAAGGTGTTAATACTGATATATGAGCTCTGAAAATTATTCACACCCCCCAAACTATTTGCATTACTGATTCTTCCCATCCTTTTCATTTTTGATCTTGCATGCTTGCTAGCACACTAATGAGGTTTTCATCGTACTTTGGGAAAAAAAAAAAAGCTAATATCTTTTTGCCATAATTTGACAATTGGGATAAGAGTGACCATTCTAATTATTTTTCTTGTCTTGAGTACTTATGTATTCAAAGAAAGCCAAAATGTTATTTTCAGTAATAGGAAAGTTTAAAAGAGTGTGTGTGTATTAGGGGGTATTTGCATGTAGTTATAAAGCCACAAATGTCTCCCTTTTCCCCAGTTCTACAGTAAAATTCTTTCTTCTCCATGCAGTGTGATAGGGTGTTCATGAGCTGAGTAATTAGCATAGGCCAGATGGCTTAAATATAGCCTAGGGTCTCCATGAGCATTCCCCAAATCACTATGGCACCAGACTCAGAATTATAAAAAGGTCAGAGCAGCCTTTCAGTTGGAGAAAGTAGCACCAACATCTCATTGTGTGCCCACACACATCCCAGTACCAGGAGCTGATGCTCAGCTGGTATTCCAGTGTGAAATGTACATGTTTAGAGTAGATGCCCTTTCTGATGGATTAACATCATACACTGTAGTTAATGCTTAGAGAATCACAATGGCCTCTATCACGTCGGGCTCTGTTCCATGGCTCAAAAGCGAGAGCTGCAATATTTGTAACTGATGTTGTTTGAGACCTGAGATGAGTGTATTGGCTTTACCTTAGTGCCTGTAATATTGCTCTATTATAACACAGTGTGTACTCGGCATCTCCATTGGGCCACTCTGCCAATAAGTCTTGCTCGCTAAAGCTTCAGCCAGCTTCTCTGACATGCTCTGTCCCCAAAATAGGCTCGTATGGACAGCTGCTACTCCGTCCTTTTTATTAAAAGATTTTCCATCCCTATTGCTTGAAATCTGTTTGGATAAACCCCCATGTATCTGTTTTCATGCATTAGTTCATTCAGATCATGATAAAACAAGTTTTCTACCCATTCTGTTAAAGTTTTGCTGTATATAATGAAAACTTCTGCAGATTGGATAGGATTAGAAAAAAGTGTTTGATTCATGGGAAACTGAGCACGGTGTTGAATTTTGCAGATAGTGAAGCTTACTATCTTCAAAAAAGCCTTTTTGTTCCCCCCCTAGTGTCTCCTCTATCCCATGAGTCTTTTTTTTCTTTTTTTGTATCTTTGACCTTGGCCATTCCAGAGCTACCTATATTAATGAAACTGCTGAGTGTGTGTGTTGGCAACCTTCCTCAGCATTAAGTTGCACAGAAGCATTAACGTGTTTTAAGTAGGTTCATTTAATCTATGTAAGTGGTTTTAAAGTTTTTTTGAAAAATCTTTTCATAGAGTCGTCACTGGATATTGTTTTTGTGGTGACTTTACCAGTGGAGGTCTGCCCACATCAGGTCCCTGTACATACGTTCAAGGTGCCCCTTAGCTGCACACAGACTACCTTGTCAGGGTGCTTGGGTTAGGTTAGGGAGAGATGCCAGGCTGGAGGTAGGTGGCACTTTTCCAGTTGCAGGTTATAATTCATTCCATTCCTTTTCTTATTTCTTTTTCATTTTTAAAAGCTATCACTTCAAGATCATAGCCTTCTCTCCCATTCTAGACAGCATTGGAGAAAAGATATCAATGTGCATCTATTTATTTTATATACCTACCAATGCAATGGACCATCTTTAAAATCAGCTTACACTTTATAACAGACTACATTTAAATAGACTGGGATTCTACATAAGTAAGACACTTAAAAGTTTAGAATTATATTTGTTGAATCTCACTTTTGCTGATTCAGTTAACTTTACTAATAGAAAAAGGAAAAAAGACTTGAGGTCCAACTCTGGAAGGCACGTTTACACTTATAGCAGATGCTGGCAAGCCTGTCTCTCAGACACCTCCAAGCCTAGACTTGGTTCTGACTCAAGACTCCCCTTGATCTCCCCCTCCTTCCTGTAGCCATCGTCGCAGTGTGGCTTGCACTGGACACAAAGGCAGTCTGTCCCACCTTCTGGATTCCAAATTTAAAAGGACTTCAGCTCCTGGGCCTTTACTCAGAGAAGTGACTTTTGGAGCTGACATTGATGACCAGAGAACATCAGTATTCCCTCTGAGCTTCTGAGGGAGCTGGAAGACTCCTGGAAAGCAGTCACTGAAGCTCCACCATAGCTCCCCAGAGCTGGGCCCTCTTTAGGAGGTCCTTTTCCACCTCCCATTTTCTACCCTCTGAGGCTCCCCGGGTTTGGAGGAACCACCTGGAGTCTGCACCCTTGGTCAGGGTCCAGAGCCTCGCCCCTGGCACTGGCACAGACATTTTAACAGTCTTGCAGCACAGCAGGAAGGCTATGAACCTTTGTTCTGCTTGTGAGGCTACGTATGTACAAATGTTAGTCATGTCTGTTATCCTGAAGTTGCTAGTCCCTTGGCTCCCTGTGGTAGGCCAGTTCTGTTGTATCTGCACTTCATTAAAGACTTCTACACAAGCCTTATTTTAAAAATAATCTTAGGCCATGGGTTTCATGCCTCCTTGTTCCTGTGTAGTATAGATGGAAGAGGTGTAATTAGTCATCACTTCATAAATGTGGTTCTTCTAATGGGGTCCTCTGTGCATCATGAGACTGCAGGTGAATTCCTCACAGTTCAGATAGGTCATCAATAAACACATCACTTCATGACAGTCGTTTTGAATTGAAGTTTGGACTCTTCTCCTTTGGGATGAATTCTGTAGTGAAGACTGAAGCTGTCACTGTCATTTGTGGGCAGCTTGCCTATTGAGCCCTGGGCCTAAGAGCCAAGAAAGAAAGGCCAATGTGCCATGTGAGGCAAGCTGGAGATGCTGTAGTGAGTGCCACCATCAGCGAGTCTGGTATCTGGTCACTTTCCCTGGGACAGAACTGGAATTTCCCCAGGTGCTGGCCAAGGGTACCCCAACCGCCTGCTCCTTATGGTTTCAGGTCAGCCCATGCAGGCTCTCATTTGGCCTACAGATGATCCTTCACTGTTCTGCAAACTGTGGGCTAGTCATGCTTTTGTAAATAAAAATGTATTGGAACACAGCCATACCCATTCATTTAGGTATTATCAGTGGCTGTATGTATTTGCAGCAGAGTTGAGTATCTGTAGCAGAGACCACATGGCCCACAAAGCCTAAAATACTTAACTACTTGGATCTTTGAAAAAAAGTGTGTTGACCCATGCTTGAGAGAAGAATCTTTTTTCAGGGGGATAAAAAAAAAAAACTTTGCTGGTTTATCTTCTCCTTTCTTCTGCCTCTTGTCTCTATCCTCTTCTTCTTCCTCCTCATCTTACCTCAATTTTGTTCTTTTTTTCGTCTTTTTTTTTCATGCTATAAAAGAGACATGTTGCCACAGCACATCAAATACCATCTCCTGAAACCTGAACTGCCTTAGCCTCACATCCTATTAGAATCACCCATCACCTTTAGCCTCTAGTCAGAATCCATGAGCAAATAGGCATTTGGAGTTCTAAAAGTATGTGGCCTGGGCCTCTCCTTTCATTCAGTTTTTATCATAGACTTCACTCTGGCTTCACTTCTTGTTTATTACTAATCAAGTAAGCCAAGATTTTATTTCTTTCAAAGTTAGTTGAGACTTCGTTAGGTGGCTCTTCAGTTTTCTTAACCTTACATTTAGATTATGAAAAGGCTTTTCACAGAGGGAAAAAAAGTCCAATCACAAACCCAAATTGTTGTTTATTATAGTTTGGCCAGCTTCTAGGAAAATGTATTGACACTATTTTTTTCAGTCACACACTCTTCTTTCAAAATAATTATATTAAAAGCAAGCCAACAACTGAAAAATAGAAGCTTGAAGTGCTTTAGAAAGAATAATAGAAAATTGGAGCATATTATAACCTGAATGTGACAGAATTTATGGATGGTATCTTTAGATTAAATCCAGTTAACTTCCAAGGTTTGTCTTCTCCCTCCCCAAAACTCAAGGATCCGTTTCTGTTTTTTATCAAAATGAAGGATTGATAAAATTTTGTCAGTAGCTCTAGAACAATGACTGTTTCGTATGTTTTGAAACAGATAATTATCATTTGAATTGTTTACTATGAGTTTTTACCTTCTTATGGCTTGATAGCCACTGAAATACTGAAATTTTTCCAAGTATGAAGTCATGTCTGTGTCAGGCATCCACAAGGCAGTCCTCACATCCCAACATTGTGTACTTTGCCCCAGGCTTGCTCCCAAGTCCTTTTCAGGGAAAAAAAGAGCAAAAAGATTACTGTAGTTAAAACTAGCAGAATCTGGGGAAGCCTGTTGAGACAGCCTTTGATATAGCTCATCCCTTGAAACATGAGAGCCGACTGCTGTCATCTCCAGTGGATGGGCTGGAGGACACAAAGGTCTGACTCCCTTCCCTTAAAGACATCCAGCCATGCTGAGGCAGAGCCCCAGAGTGCTCCGACACTGCTCCTGGCTCAGGGCTCATCATGCTGTACTGAGGACCCAGGCAATCGCCTGGGGCACTCTGCAGGCATCCTTGCTCATGCTTTTTTGCCTCTGGTTTGAGCCAGTGCTGGCTATTTTCTTGCAATACCTTCCCTTTGATCCTTTCCCCAGAACCCTGGTGGTTTACATCAGTGCTCAGAAGAGCCGGTGAGCATGGTGACAGAGGCTCTTTCACCTGCGTGGGACCATTCCATTTAACACGAAGTGCTCAGTAGGCAAGCCACATGGAAGTAAGTTGTTCATTTAAAAAGATCCAACTTGCCCATAGTTGTATAATCCGCCAGAGATTGGAGGAATGCATTAAACAAGGTATAATGGGTTATGTTTTAAAGAAAAAAAGACCCCATGTGGCCCACATAGCCTAAAATAGAAACTATTTAATACCTGACCCTTTTCAGAAAAGGTTTACTGATCCTTGCCCAATCCTTACAATATGCCATTCAAGATCAAATTGTGTGGTCACTTAGGCACAAATGTATTTTTTTCATGTAGTCCAGCACTGCAACATTTCTTTCGTTTTAGATTTTACCATTTCTTGCCTGTTCATCTTAGCACACAGCTGCTATCCCACATTATTCCTAAATAATGTTTGTGTATTAACACATATCCCTTTGTGGATTGAATATTTGTTGAATTGTGGACATTCAAGCTGATCTACCAGAATACCAAGTTAAAGTGAAAAGTACAAAGTCTTTTAAACTAAAAGTACTACGATTGTCTTCATGTTTATGGGTTAAGGTGAACTTGACTCTCATGGAACGACATTCCTCGACAGCAGTGCTCAACATAAATGGATTTACTCATGAACTCAAAAGCCTAGAATACAGCCCCTCCCAGCAGGTACAGGGCGTGTTGGTTTCACCCCCAGAAACCATACAGTGTATTTGTGTACAGTATGTTTGCAAGTTTATCACTTCCCAAGCTTTGGTCATTACTTGTGAACATACATGGCTGGTCTTTGCCTGTTTGAACCTCATTCCAGATCCCCCATTCTCAACTCTTAAAAATACCAGCATGTCAATGGCACCTTGTCAGCACACCAGCAGCTTTAGACTGAAGTTCAGGGCTCTCCAGCCTGGCCAGCGAAACCCACTCCTGCCTGGTTGGGCCTAGATCACCTCATTTTAAGGGCCCACCTTTGGCACCTTGCCTCTTCCCTCTTCTTCTGCCCCCAGGCCCCTTCCAGAAGACACCTTCTCTGGGAAGCCACCTACCTTTTGAGTGCTTCGCTGAACATGTGTATGTCATATTACAAGCATTTCATGACTTTTTCTTAGCCATTGGGTCCAAATGCTATTCAGCTTTATCAGCTTTCTCACTCAAATTGTTTTCTGTAATCTACACTTCATGTCATCTTATAGCTAACACTGTAGAATTTGGGAGCTAGTTTGTGGAAGAGATGCTGTACAAACAAGATTTTCATAATTTTGTATATTTATATCACAGGTAGGGATGAGTTTTAGAGCCCTATAGCTTAAGATTGTTAGTTTCACCAGTGATTTCTTCATTCTTAATAGCTCTAGGAGAGTGTGTGACTATGATTTCAAATACATATATATAATACATATTTATACACACCACTGTGAAATTTATTTCACTGTGTAAATAGTGGTATTTTCCTGTTCAAATGCTTCTATAGAAAGTATTTATTTTAACAAACAAAAACTGTCAAAAGGGCTTTCCAAAAAAGTGTTCTTTCTAGAAAACCCATCCTCCCCAGCTCCCATGCTCAGCCACTGAACCCCCAAACTACATCATGAAGGCAGAAGGGTGAAACCTTGAAGCCCTCACTGTACTGGGGCAGACACAACTGCATTGGGAAGCTGAGCACATTCCCCACTGTCACCCCATCCCAGAACAAAGTGGGTCTCCCACGATGGGGTCAGCTGTGCCAGCCAGGGCATCGGGACTTGTCTCAAGCCACCCACTCCTTATATATGCAGTTGGCCCATTCTACTGTACATTTCAACAGCCTGTGCAGGGAAACAAGCCCTTGTTGTAACCCCAAGGAAATCCAAACCTGTACCTGTGGGATATGGAGAAACCACTGGTTGCCTAAAGAAAGCATTAAGATGTATTTTAGTCTTTCTCACCTTCAGGAAAGACACCTGTTCCCGCTCTCTTAAACCAGGGGAGATAAGCTTGTTTCCTCCCGCACCTCGACAGTGCTGAGCACCTTAGCTCACAGCCGTCGCCGCCTCCTCCCCCACCCCCTATCTGTCTCACAAGCCTCCGCACAGATGTGGGTCAACCCCACCTATAACTGATGGTACAGAATGAGGCCGTCTGCTCTAAGATGTATGCAGCGTTACTTCTCAGGAGTCCTGATCTGCAGTTCAGTCCCCGTAGATGAAACGGAACCGATGCTTTCCCATCGTGTTCCTCTTCCCTGTGCTCCATTCCTGGGCACCCCTGTCTGAGCCACAGCTTTGCTGTCCAGCTGGCTGGCTGGCCTGAGAACTGTAGCTCCAGGCCTACGGAGAGCTTGGGACTGGACACGCAGGGATTCGTGTCATCCATTTGAACCATAATTTGCCTATTTACTTATGGCCTCCCTTTGTCTTTTCTAAATAAATGAGGAAGACACTTGAACAGTAATGCTGGAGAATGTTTTTTCTAAGATACTGTTTGTAAGCAAATCTGATTTTAAGATGAAATGTGAATGGGTAACTAGGTGCCAGGGAATTTAGCACTGAACTAGACAGTTGAAACTTTTTTAACCTTTGCAGGAAAAAATACTTTGCTCTCATCTAAATGTTCACAAGAAATAATGTTGTAAATAGTTTTTAAAAAAATATTTATTACATGTGCTGTATACAGATTCATGTTCCGAGTGATGTTGGTTTGCATTGTAGTATTGTAGAAGAATGTATTTTGAGCAGTGGACTTCCTTTCATAACACAGTACACACATGGAGAAAGAACAAAAATGAGCAGGTTGAGAGCTGTTTGGGGCATTTGATCTGTAATGTTACATCAAGTCCAAGCTTTAATTGCCCCCTCTTCTCATCTGGTTATGGTATATATTATATATATATATGTATATGTATATATATATACACACACACATGTATGTATGATAAACTGGTCAGTGGTCAGTCCCCAGAGCAGATTTCCAGGTGTTCTTTCTGATGTGTTGCCCGTAAGCAATAAGATTCTAGGTAATAACATTTATTCCGGGCTCTGCGTTAGCCCTTGTCTCAGAGGATAGGGTGGGGGGTAGAACAGCTCTTGCTAAGACCTCTTGCCTTTGCTGGAGAGGTTGCTGTACTTGAATTTTTGCTTCTGTTTGTCTGCACCCTCCTTCACATTATACAGTGCTAGCAATGGATGAGAAATCTGCCAGGACCAGACACCTCAAAAATTGGACATAGAGACTGAAAAATTACCAATTTTCCATGAATTTTTAGGGTTTACAGAATCTAGTTGAGGCAAAGCTCATTTGGTTATAGCATAAATGTAAGAACTTTTGCATTAAAAATGTAAATGGTCAATACAAAGTCCCTTGACTATATATCTGACCTACCTTTAAGAGCTAGCCCATTTCCTATATTCCTCTGTGCCTGGGTTTGAAATGTCCAAAGCCCCAGTGCATGTCTGGGGTTAAACCTATTTAGGTTCGTGCAAAGAGGGCAGTTGCTCCTCCAAGTATCCCAGCGTGTCCAGTCCAACAGGTTTCTAAGCTGTTTAGCAACCTCTCCTTGTGACCGTCCTGAACTTTATGAAAAATACCCCACACCCAGATAACCATGAATAGAATAATGTAGTTTTTTAGGCTTTTTGGAATATGTCTTCTCTTTTGTATTTATGATGGTGTTTGGAATTTTTCACTAGTGTTTTTTTAGATCGAAGTGGGTGCATTAGGATAACACTTTCCATTGCTGCGCCTGAAAGCAAGCAAGAGGAAAGAAATGGACCTATGTGTGTCATTGGGAAGGTGACTACTTCTTGTGGTAGGGGGAGGGAGGGAGGGAGCGTGGTAGATTATGTGGGGGTAAAATAGAATTCCGGCCTGAGGCTCCCTGAGTCTTATTACCTTGTAATAAATAATCCCTTTATTAGCCTCACTTAATCTCAATAGAAGCCTGCTGTTTACCCTCAGGGAACAAGTAGTTTTCAAAATTGAGCTCCTCCAAGGTCATTGGCCAATGCCTGCGTGCAGGCATGGGTCATCTTTGTGAACTCATGGCATTATTTTCCCATATGCATTATGATAGTATGAAATTCAACCCCAACCTGTATGAAAAGCACAGCCCAGGGTCCTCCTTTCAGGCTAGAGTTAATGCCTTTGAGAGGCCAGAGTGTCCTAGGAGGCCCATGCAATTTAACTGAAGCTCAGGTGCCGTGTTGGGTTTTTTATTCTTTTTAGGCCACAACCTTCAGAATGAGTTTAGGGCAGGGCTGCTGATCCAGCTGTGGATCCAGGGAGCTCTAAGATGAATCTCTACCGTTCCTGTAAAGGTCTTTCTGGTTCTTCCCAGTGTTGTCCTTGCTGAGGTCAGTCTCGTAGTTGTTCAGGTGTGCTCCTCTTTTGCTGTCTTGTGAGTTGTAGCCAGCGATCCAGATGCCCAAGGACAGTCTCCAGAGGGCCTCGCTCCTTCCCGGTACCATGTGTGTGCTCCTGACCTGTGTGAAGATGGTCTTGTCAAAAGTAGTGACATGAGAAATCCTGCAAATGGTAATCCGGTGATCAGCATGTTTCCCTTGGGCCTGGATTTCCACTATGTTAGTGAGTGTAGGAAAATACTGTGTCTGTTATGGATGAAAATTCAATGTATGCTGTGAATTTGTTGGTTTGAAACATTGAAAAATTTTCATTAGACAATGTTTACATACCTCACCTGAAGAACCTTTGAGAGTGTATATATGAAATTTAAAATATATTAAGTTGCTTTAAAAACAATATGTATAGCTATAAAAGTTGGAGTTATTTTAACTTTGAATATGTACCAAGTCTCAAATATTGAAATCTTGTGGATTCTGTGCTTCTGTGTTTTGCTTTCCTATTAGACTGTGTAGGAAACTGTGTTCTTGTTACTGGTAAAGGGGCCCTCAATGAAATCCAAGCTTGGAAGAATTTCCTAGGTTGTTTCAGATTTTCTTGTTTGGTTTTGAGGGGTGGGGTGTGGAGCTGGAGGCTGTGTGGGAGGGATTTCTCTAACATTGACATCTATTCCATGAGCTTTTCCTAGGCGCTTATTTTATTGCAGTGTATTAAACTTCTTTGATATTAAAGTGTGTTTGTGTAGTTACTGGAGAGGGTGCAGAACACGTGGAAACCTAGCATTCAACTTGTAGTCTGTGGCAAATTTGCTAAGTTGCCACAGGGAACCAAAAAGCAATACTTCCTGCGACATCCCTCATGGTCCAGTGGTTAAGACTTCTGCCTTCCAATGCAGGGAGTTCAGATTTGATCCCTGGTGGGGAAGCCCAGATCCCACATGCCTCACAAGCAAGAAAGCAGAACATAGAAACAATATTGTAACAAGTTCAATAAAGACTTTAAAAATGATCCACATTAAAAAAATCTTTAAACAAACAACTCCAGAATACTTAATATGACTTTGGCCTAACTTCAAAGAATAGGAAACCCAATGAATGGTCCTTGGGAATTCCCATGGCAGAACTGGGAAGACACTAGTGCTTCATCTTGAGGTTCAGGGAGCACCTGAATCCATGCTCCTGACCTCATTGCTAAATCTAGGGGGTGAAGTGCACAGCATCCCAGCTCCCTAGCCCATGCTGGGTTGTGGCAGAAAGGTGGCAGGAAATCCTTCCATCTACTTGCCTCATGACCTGTTCCATTATAGTCTTTCAACTCTCCTGTGTGTGTGCTAAGTTGCTTCAGTCGTGTTCATCTCTCAGCGACCCTATGAACCATGGCCTGCCAGGTTCCTATGTCCATGGGATTCTCCAGGCAAGAACACTGGAGTGGGTTGCAGTGGCATCCTCCAGGGGATCTTCCCAACCCAGGGATTGAACCCACATCTCTTATCGTCTCCTGCACTGGCAAGTGGGTTATTTACCACTAGTGACACCTGGGAAGTCCTTCAATTCTCCTGGAGATGGGCATGTTGATGGATCCAGTAGGCCAGTGATTCATGGAATCAACCG